ATCTATCTATCTATCTATCTATCTATCTATCTATCTATCTATCTATCAGCCGCCTGTTGCTGTGTAAAACCTGGGCTGGGTCAACAAATGAGAGACAGACAACACAACAAGCTCATCTCCCACTGTCACATCCCCTACCACGGGCACGGAAGGTCTTGTTTTTTCATTTTGTCTTTCCCATTTAGTGTTTTTCAATTCAAAAATATGTAACACAGGTGTCAAGGACACCGTGGTCCTCTCTCTACCTGCCGGCCTTTCAATTTATACCGTTTTTCCTTCTTTCTGGAACAAAAGGCTTATTCATCGAACATCAGCAGTAGTTCAGGCTAGTCGTTGAGCTATACCATCATCTCTGCTGGAGTGCTTTTGTCATGATGGTCAATCAAGGGGCCACTGTTGACACTCTCTTTTTAAATACCATTATTAAGCCTGTAATAATTGACTGTGCCAAGATACCCTCAGGAGACGTAAAGCTATGGCGTTCTTACATGGAAGCGGTCACTCTGTTGTAGTAATGATTGCTGCTGCCCGCTCAACAAAGTAGGAAAGATTGTCCACGGATAAAGACACCCGCCATTTCAAATATGGCAAATTGGAAATTATTAACTCAAGAATGCATCGTTTCACAACTTGGAAGGTAGTCGAAATATTTCACTCACATTTGTAGGTAGGCTTCAATACATCACACGGCTCAGCACTTAATTTTGCAGCCTGGTATCAGCATTTGGTTGCTAAAACTGAAAATATATATTTTGAGTAACTAAGATATGCATTTATACATTTGTCTAATAATGAAAATGTGACATAAAAGAATATAAGCTTTGTCATAATGGCTGCTAATGGCTTATTGTTGAGCCCTTGCATCTTGCAAGATTTTGCCTCGGCTCTCCTCGCTGCACATGATGCGAAGGACAAGGCATGAATATCTCCCATGTGTCTGGCATCAGCCCTCCAGTTCTATGAGCACGCATCCCGGCAGATGCCAGCGATCCGCACCATGTGGTCACTGACTATTTGGCCGCCATGCCACGTAAACACAAAAGCAAAGCACGAGGAACTGTCAGACACGCTGTCAGAGCTTCCAGGGACTACTGGACAGTGTCTGTCTGTCCAAATCACCCCGTCGCTCTGCATGTGGTGCATATGCAGGATGGCGAGTCCCCACGGAAACAAACAAAACACACTAGGGTATGTTTGCGTTTCTGTTGACACACTCGCGTACTTGTTTGTGGCAATTGTGCACAGTAGCTTTTAAAAACAGTGCATTCACAGTACTGTCTGGACTGTACAAAGACCAATAAATGCTGTTGTCACATATTGTTTGACTATGTTTTTTAAAGTAATTCAATAACGTGACACTTTACATCATTAAGGGATCGTTTTTTTAAAAACCGATTACGGCCTGAGGTCACATATCTGCATCTAACAGAGTTTTTAGGGATGAAAGGAAGTTGAGAAGATTTAAAAGGTGCTGCATGTGGTCGACTGACATAGCTAGAGGTGTTCGTGGTATACTGGGCTGGTAATGTAACTTTGAAGAGCAACTCATTTTTGCATTTTATTTGGGATTATACAAAAAAGAAGGCAGCAACCTGGGAAAGTTAATTCTAAAGTGAGTGTCTCAGAACTGTTATTCTGGTCGGTCAGCTCTTTATTTAATGCTGAAAGTAACAAATATTTCTATTTCAAATGATGACGCAGCAATCTCTTACTACATGAGGTCTGACTTCAATTTAAATGCAGTAGACAGCTTTGTAAAGTTTGTATAATAAGGCGGCATGAAATTTGACTGACTTGAGTACAACCCATCGATGGAGTTTTCAGGTGGTACAGTAGCTCAGCCTTCACCTAATTAACGGAGATACATTTTCATATAGTGGATCAATGAAAACAATTGAATATTGTATATGTATCCAACATTTTTAGTGATTTGGTTGTTGTTGAGTAGAATTATGTTATCGGTAACAATTCAGGAACTACTGATTAAAACAGAATTAATTATCAGCTCGTTACACAGTACTTACTTGTACTTTTAGGAATAGTATTTATCTCTGAACAAAGATGCAATCTCAAATCGCATCTGCATACTTGGATTTTTATATACAAAAATCTGACCTAAATGTCCTAAATATTTCATAATATATTTCCGAATATGACACAATTCCACACAACCAAGATTCGAAAGAAGAATGACAACAATAAGTAATCCACCATATACATTGTCTGTTACACTGTTGGAGTCTTTTATTTCATTTAATTCAACATCTTTACCTCGGTTACTATTACTGATATGGTCAGAGTTTTGTTATCCTTTCTATTACTGAGGTTTCTTTTCATTCACACAAACTGTGACACACACATGGATGTCTACCCCTCTTCTAGCTTCACTTAAATGGCCAATTTGTGTGTGACACACAAATCCACCCCCCCCCCCCCCCCCCCCCCTCCTACCTTTGAGTGCTCAATCTCTCGTGTGGTTAATTTTAGCTAATACCCCCTACCTGTCTCGTTATGCAAAGCAGTACAATAGCTCCAGATAAGAATATAATCAAACATCATTTACAAGTAAATGCAACGACAAACATGCGAGGGAAAACCATGAAACACACATCAACGGGGACGTAGACTAAGTGGTGTACGTGTGTGTGTGTCATTTTTCTCTTGTCCTCTTGACATGAAGTCCGTGATGACTTTCATGAAAGGCACACTCAGTGAAGCCCCTCAGCAGGGACTCTAGGCCGTCTTACAAAGGCTAATGTTCTTCTGAGACACGGACAGTGATGCCTTTTCAGTGTGACAGGCAGCAGTAGGGAGGGATGGGAGGCCGGCGTGTAGCACAGCGCAGGTAGATAATTTGTGACAGAAAGTGGCTACAGAGCCGCTACAGCAAGGTGAACAGCATTGACGAATAAGAGCGCTCATTCGCCCAATGTAGTATCATTAGGTGTGTGTGTGTGTGTGTGTGTGTGTTTTCCGAACCCATGCAAACAAACCACAAAGGCTTTACACCATGTTAATTCAACATTACAATACCTTACACAGCCTGTTGTAATTCTCTGGCATATCGTCTCCATATTAACTCACTCCTATATCTGTTCTGATGTTGCTTCAATTAATTATTGATTCTTACCAGATGTTTATGGGTGTGTTGGGTTGTGATGAATTTTTGAATATTGTCATTTCTCTATGTAGTACAATTTAAGACCCAGGGATAAAAACAAAAAAACAGCACAGGTGCGTGTTTTAGAAGGCATTTGTGGGAAATGGTTTAAATGCTGAAAGAATTCTGCCTTTGAAATTTAAACCCCAGCTCGTCTGTGTTAGAGCATCCTTGGGCACTTTGCTGCAGAAAAGACACCCCGAGGAAACGGATAGGCAGACAAAGTAAACCAAACAGAAAGTACAGATTGTTCAGTTTTAAATCAAGGTTGCACAACAGACATCATGGAATTCTACAATTTTCCCCGGGTAGCTTGGTCGACACAATCAATTATCTGTTGCTGTTTGTGAAGAAGACCGTTTCCCAGACATCCTAGATATGAGGCGATGTTATAGTGTTTATCAAGTAAATGTTGTTCATATTCACAATCATAAAGGCCCAGTCAGGCACACTGCCATATAAAATGACCAGTGCTTTATTCTGTCTACGTTTGTAATGCACTTTGGTAAGTCCATTTTTTTATGTGCTATAGAAATACATTATAACTTGATTCGGTCAGAGGGATGAAGTAAATCTGCAATTTTTTTTGCACAAACTTTGGTGGAATTTGCACATTTTTACAATCCTGAGAACAAAATAGTTGTAAACCCACCAGCACAGAGACAATAGAAGAAGCTTGGAGAGCTGTTGTGACTGACTAGTGCTAGCTAGTGCTAGCTTCGCTCTGGCTAGCCTTGTGGTTAGTGATTTGATATCAATATCACGGATTGTATTAAATGTGTACATGATATCATCTCGTATCGATTGCAGGCCCCTGGATTGAATTGAATCAATATTGTGTTGTGGCAACCTTCAGCTTGTATTGTCAAGAGTCAATATAATGTATCGTGATGAAACTTATTTTCACCTCCAGACACAGTTGAATTATACTGAAGGAGTGAATCCGATTAAACCTCAGCGATTCCCTGCATGTTGCATTTTCTTCCCTTTACATTTTTACACATTTTACAATCCCTCTGACTTTCTCTACTTTTTCCTTTTGATATATGGGATTTGAAGCATTTGATGTAGCTTCCTGTAGCCTTACATTGTAAAAACCAATCATTTGTAGTATTAAAACCCCTTGCTCAACTTCTGTGAATGGTGAGCAAAGGGTGGCCTCCAATCAAATTCCCCCCCTCTCCAGTTTCTGACAAGTGGAGGAGACATCCGGCGGCCCTCCTAATGAATTCCCACAAGCTTACTGTCTGCGTCTGGCATCATGCTCCCCATTTCTATTAGCCCTCCACTGAGTCAGGCAGGTGGAGCAGGGCTCTGTGACCAGGAGGGATGGAGAAAGGAAATAGGAATTAAGTGCAATAACTTTGAGAGAGAGACTTAACACCATTAAAATGTAAAAATAGAGTCGAAAATACAACTTTCTTATACGTACATCACATATTAATAACTCGGCGGACAAATGGCATCAAAACTACTTCTATATTATGAGACAATAAAGTGCATATTGTATTCTCATTGTGTCACAGTATACGGTCGCTTGCTTGTGAGACTCTATGTTGTGATTTTGGCCGGATCACGTGACAGGCCGGGAGGTCACTGGCCCTACAATAGGCAGCGGCATCTAGAGGAACACAGGAATTCGAGGCAATTTAACGGACATTTACATTTATTTATTTTTTTATTTTTTTTATGTCTCGATAGTAGTCGCGGACATATCGATACACTATCATTTCAAAAATGATCGCGATAGTTAGCTATGTTGATATTTTTGCACACGGTCATCTCTCTCCTCGATGGCTGTCCCTAAGAGGAGCCTCTCTGCTCCCTGAGAGACATGACACTCAGTGGTATGCAGTTTGTTTTCAGAATCATGACACGCCTCCTCACCCCTCCTTCCTCACTAGCTCATTTTCACTCCTTTCTCTCTCCCACAACCTTTCCAGATGGACATGGATGCTTTCTTTCCTCTCCTTCCTCCTTCTCTTGTTCCCTCTTTCGATGTAAATGAGGCTTAATTGGCTGGGAGTAAAAACTCCAAGTGGCCTCCGCATGTCACGTCACCAACTAAGAAACCGCCGAAGCTGAACCGGGGGCTCGGTCTCCGTCTCAAACACACATATTCCTCTATTGTACTAATTGTCACTTTAATCCCCAGCTAATAACGTATGCCTGACCTTAACTCTCAACCTAACCTTAACCCAAACCCAAGTCTAATTTTATCCCTGACTTTAATTTTCTAGAATAACATCTTTAATTACCCGCTAAGATGTCCACACTCCACACACACACACACTGTTCAGCAAGCTGTTGCCTTTCCACTATTGTTAGCAAAGTTCCTTTTCCTGCAGTGTGTTGTTTCTAATTAGACCAAGACAGCCGGCTCTGCCTCATGTGAAGAACGCTCTCTCACACACACACACACACACACACACACACACACACACACACACGCATATTACACATGCTTTGCCAGGTGGCCTGTTTGCCCACAAGACTCACCCTTGAGAGTTGAGCCCATGGGAGGTCAAGCAAGTGCAGGTGAAAGCTGAGGCCAGAAAGGGTTCTTTGTATTTTGGATGCACATGCAGATCACAATATATGTGGGTAAATTGAATTGCTACATTTAGCCTTATTTTTCTTCACTCGTCTTATTTTTTATCTTTACTTACAGTTAGTTTAGTTGGGCTTTAGAATTTGAGTATATCTTACAAGTACAGGTCCACATTTTTGGAAAAGGCTCTTATTCTCTTTCTTGCAGTGAGTTAGACGAGGAGAGCCGTTAAATATGCAGCTACAGGCAGGAGATGGTTAGCTTAGCTGAACAACATAACGACTGGCACCAGGAGGAAACGGCAGGCCGGGCTCCGTCTAAAGGGGCTTGCCTGTTAACAATGAATTTAAACAATAAAACTATTTGATTTGTGTGCCACACTTATTTTCTGTCTTTCAGGTAAGCAGGACTACAAAAAGACAAAGTCGGCATTAAAGGCCACACGGCTGAAAGCTGACGCGAAGAAGAATTCCTCTGGATTCAGGGTGAGACTGGCCTGGACTTACTCTCTTCAGGACTACATGTCTACATGTCTTCCAATGTTTTTGCTTGCTCGTCTGTCCCAGCCCATCTATGATTCTGCTTCTCTTTCTGTCTGCCAACCGTCTCCTTTGTTGTGTGTCTGAGTCTGTCTCACTAGATCACTTCACAACCACGGCTCTTAGCTCTCTTACAACCTGCGTTAGGTCTTTAGGGAATGTAACAACAACAACAACAACAACCTGAAATGATGTGATGAGGCCCCCTGCTAATCCTTTGAAGATCTGTGCGAGTGTTGGAATCCATCATCCTCCATAGAATAAAGTTTAAAATACTCGATCCTGTCGAGAAAAATACAGACATAATGAATTCCTGGAAGGGTTGAAATTCAAGAGTTTCGTTATTCTTTTTAATGGTGAAGAAGGTGGAGGAGGAGAAACAGTGACGGAGAAGTTGGAAATATAACGAGCAGAGAAGGAATAAGAAGGCGATGAGATAGATGGAGGTGGGTAATGTAAGGGAAGAGAGTTGAGGGTGTTGCTCGGATAGAACAGTTCATCCCTCCGTTGTTTGGTTACGCTGCAGCGATTGGGAGCTGTTGTGCAGGCAAAGATGGATGACTCCACATTTATCACTCTGGCAAACGTTGTTTATGCTTTTTCTCATTCAGTTGCCTTACCAATAAACAGTTTTAATATGTCACGGTCTCTCCATGTAGAGTGAGTCCATGCCAATGGAATAGCTTGTGAATCTGACCTTACAGGTGTTTAACTCATCTTTGAAATTGCAGATACCATCACAAGAAATCAGGTCGTCGGTGAGTTGGGAAATTAAAATCAGTTGCAGGGAAACATAGTTCAGGCATGTTATCTTTCTTTTTTTTTTTTTGTATGTTTATTTTGCGTCGTGACTTTGAGAATTGGTTCTCTTCACTTTACATCAAAAGCCAAAAGGCTTCACTTCCTCATGAAGCCTCAGTTGGCACGTAGTACACAGAGACGAACAAATCACAGTGAGGATTAAACACTGGGTGAAATGGTCAGCTTTTAAAATATGCATCTCTTAGACACGCTAGGCCTCATTAAGCACGTCTTTAATCCAATTAGATTAGTCCATATCTTGAAATATTGATATTGCCTATGAATAATTCAGGTTTTCCATGCTCAAGACGAGGGGGAATTTTCAGAGGTCGGATTAAAAATACCTCTGGGACGAGGATATTAAACTGACTTGGACCCTTTGGCCCCGAGTTCGATTGAAATTCAACCCAAATGTAATGGATATTTGGTCACGCTTGCTTTCCCATCGAGTCCTTTTAGCGTTACATAAAGCTGTGTTTTTACACAGCTCTGTGATAACAGCCCCCCCTCTCTCTGTCCTTTGGTTGACAGCAAGGATTTGGCTGCAATTTATGTAAGCTTGTTGCTGTGTGAATTAGGTTTCTTTTCTCTTCTGTTCTCTTCTCTACTTCCTCCTCCTTCCCGTTCTCCTTCTTCTCCTCTTCCCATTCTCCTCTTCCTCCTTCTCCCTCTTTTGCCATGTCCCTAGTTGAGATGCAGGTCCTCGGATGCAGCTGGCATCTCAGAAGGACCAGCAGACATGTGGGCACAGAGAATCTGGCAGCTGCCAGGGCAGGCTGTCTCGGGGCTGTCCTAGTAGCAGGGCAGTCTGGGTAAATTGGCAGCAAAACGGATGGAGAGACTAAGAGAGCGCGAGAGAGAGAGGAACAACGTCTGTTCCCACAACGGCGATTAGATGACGGGCTGCGCAAAACAACCTCAGAAGTTACGGAAATCAGCCACTCGTTGTGGCCGAGTGTGTTCTTGTTCACACGCTGAGTCAAGGTGTGTTTACATAGCTTGTTACTGTCTGAATGCAAGCATGGACGTGTTTCCTGCCCTGCTTCTTCAAAACCTAGATGGTTGTGGGGTCATCACAGCAGAGATGAAACTGGCACGAGGTGGTCAGCAGTCTCTTCTCAGTTTGCCAGTGGAAGAGTACGTGCCTTCGAAGTAGCTCCAGTACGATAGCTTGCAGCACAGGAAACAAGCCTGCTGCCTCGTCTAATTGGCACACTAGCCTTCTGTTCATTCCTGCACTATTTTCCCTCTTATTTAGCCGCTGAGCCAAGAAAGTTGGGGAAAAAATTGCTTATGGAATTGGCGGAGGATGGAGGATACAGATAATGACTTCCAGCTGTCATTTATGAATGTATGCAAGACTGTACAGATTATTTTTCTTTTTTTGTTGTTGTGTACTTTTAGTCTTTTTGTGATTCCTATAAATCTAAATATAACTTGAGTCATGAAGCTGTTGGTGTCGTCGTGAAGAAGCAACTCTTATGGAGTCATCATTGGGCAGCATCTAGAGTAAAACGTACGAGTACAAACTGTGAGGGGTGCTGTGCTGAAAACCGACAAACTAGCATCTGCTTCAGCCTCTCACTGAAGCAAACTGGATGTGTCATCTGCGCTGGCCATTAGCTTTATGAGGCTCATTCACACTTTCTAGCTGGTTAGGAGCGTAGACGGATAGCATGTCGGAATGTGTAGGTTTTATGGCCTTTCATGCCATTTCATTTATGGAAAAGATTTATGGAAACACTCAGTGAGTGGTGATCGCGGCGATGAGACTCCTTTTGTCCGTGGATATGTTTTTGTGTTGCAGAAGCACACAGAAAGGGTTGTGTAAGAAAATGAAGGCACATATGTCTAATTTAAGATAATCAGCAGGCAAAAGGTTATTTTAAGCTCATGTGTTCATCCCTTTCATTGTAGGGTGGGGATGACAGCTTTTCTTTATTTTACAAAATATGAATGCAGAAACGATTAGTCAATTATATGATTGGATGAATTAAATAAATTTGTCAAGTAATTATAATAATTATTATAATGTTTTGAGCATTAGTCACATAAAACAAGAAATTTTTTACCTCCGACTGTGCTGATTAGTTATTTGTTTTACTACTTAAATCACCTTTTAAAGCCATAAAGTCAACAAATAGAAATCATGAAATATGACCTAGTGGATGGTTATCTGGTGGTGATGACTTCTGTACAGATGACACGTGCTTACCAACCACAGCCCAGATGCACCAACGTTCAGCCACAAACACACTGATTCTCTCTTGGCACATACTGACGTACACACACACACACACACACACACACACACACACACACACACACACACACACACACGTATACGCACACAAACAGGAGGAGAATAAAAATCAGACCAGATGAGGGGATGTCTGCTGAGCTGTGGCTTGTCGCCAGGGTGACAGGGATCCAGCTCCCAGCATGCCAAGTGCGCTGCAGCTGCCGCCGGTGCTGAGAGAGCCACATGATGAAGAATGATGCTTATGCCCCATCCAGAGGTCTCCATCAGAATGTGGGCAGAGGGGCTGTGTGTGTGAGACACGGCTAGAGTCAACACAGTGGGCCACTCTCCTCCAAAACTATGATCTCAATCAAGTGCAGGTGCTTCCTACAACCCAAGTGTTTTGACCAAAACCCCTCCAGCTTGTGTTCACAGACGAGTCACTGTAACCAGCTGTTCTCTTTCGCTCTGAAATCTGAAGCAGAGAGAGAGGGGGGGAAAAAACAACAACAACAACAACAACCCGGGTTGTGATTTCAGGTGTCCTTTTGTTTCAGCCGCAATTCAGCGAAATGCGTATACCTGCGTCAGAAGCACAACATTTTCTTTGCGATACTGTCGGCAGAATTACAAATGCTTCTCCCTTTTGTTGTCTTTTTTCAAAGCTGTGAGAGGAACACAAGGAAAAGCGGAAAACAATCAAGCCTCGGTGATTTGATAACAGTTCTCTTTTCTCCGAGGCCTCAGCAGAATAGAAAAGTAAATCAAGCAGTGGGAGCCTGGCGGTTAATATATGAAACTAAAGTGCATGAAATTTAAAAGTTTTCCAATTAAGCCAGGACTTAAAGCTGTTTGGAGGCTGCCGGGATGTAGATAAATGTGGGCTGAGGCTAATGAAGACCAATGCTGCTGATGACTCGGCGCTACAACATGTACACAGATAGCTGTGGATGCCGTGACGCCTTTTAATTGTCACCCCCCCCCCCCTCGTCGGATAGGAATTATTATTAGCCCCCCACCACCGCTCGTTTGTGCCGAGCCTTATCTCTCACTTGTTTTCTCTCCCCTCCTCGCTCTTGTTTTTCGTTCTGTCATTCCTCCATGTAGTTTTTGGCCGGTGGGTTGAATTTGCAGTCATCTCTGTGTGTGCGTGCTACGTATGGTAATAACTGAAGTGATGTTTTCTTATATTTTCCTTTATATTATTTCTGTTTGCTTCTGTTTTCCTTTTACATCCGTCTTGTTTGCTGCTTTCCTGTTTGTCATTTTTTCTTCGGTGTAACCTTGTTTCACCTCAGCCTGTCACTCGTTCATCTACGGCATACGGGCTGATTTAGCTGATCGGGGTTCAGGAAGATTTTTCAGAGCGGCAACTTCGTAAATCTAGAAATAGAAGAACAAGATTATAGCTGTGAAAATTGTTGGTGTAGGATTACAATCATGTGTTTTGAACTTGCATCCTTTGTTGTTGTGGCCCAGTTTGCATGTAAATACTCATTTTCATGTTCAAATCAAATATTTCTTTTTGAATAACCCCCCCAATCAGACAGTAGTCCTCAACCTTTTACAGCTCTCCAAGCTCTCCAGTGTTGATTAGAAAGTTTTCTGCTAATGAGTTCTCTTGATAAAGAATAACTGGCATTGTTCAATACTCTGAGTGGCCCTAATGAAACTCCAGCTGATGAAGATTGTAATCGTGCGAGCGCCGCATAATGAACAAGCGCTCCAAATTCCCATTTTCAAGTTGAATGCCACTCCTCTGGAAGGCTTCAAATTGTTTGACAATTAGCCAATAGAAATTAAAAAAGAAAAAAAAAAAATAGGCCATTTTGTTTAGAAAGTTAAACTTTGCAGGAGAGCAGTGGAGATTGATTGCAGATTGAATAGATTAAAATACTGCGGTCAGTCATGACTGGGTCTCTGAAATGTGATACTGTGCATTTTTTTTTTTTAAATCTTGGATGTGGCTCCAGTTTTACTCCAAAATATGTTTCCACTTAATCTCTTTGCATCAAGAGAAAAGCTGAAACTAATCAATGACTCAGCCTTCTGAAGGCATGTGATGTGCTAGCACACTCTCCTTAGAATAAACTACACAATCTCCAAATAAGTTGTCTCTCTAATTGTTATGGATTTTGGAGAACTGGCTGCTAAACATGTGGTGTGTGTAGGAAAGCTATACTGTAGCTTTCTAATGCACCATAACTAACATCATGTTGTGTTCTTTCTGTCTTTATAAACAATACAACATTCATGCCCATTATACATTCCGCTATTTTACTGCAGTATATTTGCCGTCAGTGTCGCTTTCATTTCATCTGGTAACGATTTCTCGCAGTGAATCTCTTAAAGCAGCTGAGATAGAACACCTACTGCGGAGACCTGGTTTCCTTTTTTAAAGAGTCTGAAACCATTTCCACACAAAGGCAGGTCAATTTGAAAACATTTGTTTGTCTGTTTTGTCCTTCTGTCAGCAATAAGCTCCACCGCTGTAAACAAAGCGTGCAAAAGAAGAAGCTCCTCAGTGTGAATAGTCTTGTGTTGTGTGGACAGGAAACACATGACATGATTAATAAGCTCGTTAACCTTTATCAACAAAACAATCATGGCTTCCATTTCTCTGTTCAGTTGCTTATTTTTAATTTTTTTCATATATAATGTGCAATATGCAACTTCCATTCCCTGTAAAGTGATAACGTATAAGGGTTTCATTCAAATAGAATAGATTGAGGTCTCAATGCAGCGATTCAAATGATTCAAATGACAGAATAGTCGGGGTTTGTGACTTAGCAGTCGTCTTATCACTGAAACAGACGGATACTACAAGTCAGTTACAGCTGACTGGTGTGATCCGGTTCATACAGGGTTTTCCTATTTACCTGTAATGGAGTGGAGCAGCGTTAAAATTTAATTTGAGCATTTTTACATCTTCGTATTCAATTCAATTCAGATTTTCACTTGAATGGCTAAAATAAAAGTGTGATGATTAACAGTCCTATAATTACATTTGTCTTTAAAAGCACATTTACAAGTTACAGTTCAAACATTTAGTTTAAACTGTTTCCCACAAACGCTAGTCAACGATGTATTCTTACACACAAAGTCAGACTGGTGAAATTCACATGAGATTATTTGAATGAGAAGAAAGACAATGGGGACTTGGCAAATACAGACGTAACAACGCTGAAAGATAAGCACAATAATTACAGAGCCCTGCCAACTCGTTCAAACAAAGTAGAGCTGCTCCTGTGCATAAAGACAGACACGGGATCAGCCAGTAAGATGTATAAATAGTTCTTACAGATGAACGCCGTATCTTAAAACCTTCTCTCTTTCCTTCTCAGGATGCGTTCCTGGTCATCGTTGCGATCCTGTTCTTCGTCTTCTGCGTCTACGCCTTCTTCTACCTCAACCTGAGTACCGAGATGAACCTGGATGTGGATGAGGATTAAGGAGAGGTGGACTGTAGGCCAATGACGTCTCGTCTCCTCGCATCACACACGAGGACGGAACACAGTCTGTCGTCTTTTTTTACACACTTTTGGTGACTCGGTGACAATGAACTGCCTCTTCGGGATAAATGGGACAGTCCATCAAATAACTCAAAGCTTCTATTGAAGATCTACTTTCCCTTTACTTTCTGCATGGGAGCACGTAAACTATATCATTACATTATGGTTTTACATGCGAGTTCCTTCTATTCTTTCCCTGACCCCAGATCTGAGAGAGTAGCTTTGATTCTGTTTCCCTGAAAAACTCAGTGACCTCGTTGTATAACATTCTGCTGCAAGATCTACATGCAGCAGAGAAAATTAGCCGTCTCTACAGTCGAGACTGAGCCTCCGTTAATCATATTCTGCGGAGTCACGTCCCTCTGTTTTCTCCACTAATAGAAAAATGTAAATCTCCTGCTGAACTTCTCGTCACATCCAGACAAACACTTGCCTCACATTCCAGTGCACAAACCTCTCCTCTTGGATATCTGGAGATCACAAAGTGTGAGATTAAAATCCACAAAGCCCTCGCCCTGATTGAATGTGTGTGCAGAATACAGAACAACACAATTCTACCTGCCGCACATGCAGGCGGCACGGAGACGCACGTCCACAGGATTAGCAGTACAAATATGATCCTGTTCTTTCATTTGAATGGAAATTGCAGAGATGAGTGACGACTGAAGAGAAGCCGGTGTGTTTCTCAAAAGGAACACCTTGATTATTTTTCCGTCTCGTCAAATGTAGGACGTGATGTCTCTGTATGAATATGAAGGTTCGTCAAATCCTCTTTATCCCGACTCTTCTTGCACTAGTGCTGCAAGGTTCAAGGACTGACCTTCCATTTACAACTTCAGCCGAAGTTCTTCCACTGTTTGAGGGATTCTTTCTTCACAAAGAGTCGGTGGCTTTTGTTTCGTTTATTTCTTTTCATGTTATCACTTTCTATTCCTTTCTGATACTGTCCTCCAAAACGCAACTGATGCTTTGTTTTGGATACGACTTTTTTATATTAGTGTAACGCAAAGAAGGCCAATAAATACCAAATACACTAGAGACCTTGTGACTTCTTTCATTTCCCGATATGTTTCTTTTTTTTCCCCACTAAGTCTCTTTTTAAAAACAAGTCTTGTGTCAGAGCCTGCCTGTGTTCTGTGGCTTAGATGAAATGTGAGACTGATTTTGAGCTTTCAGTTTCGGCTCTTTTCTCCCATGACCTCCCGACCTCTAGTAAAAGACTACTTTTCCGAGAAACCATAATGATAAGCATGCACTCGTACCCTCAACCAATGACTTTTATCTGGCTTTGGTACTGCAAGACCCCCTCCTCCTCCTTCTCCACCGCTGTGGGTCACTCACATGTGTAACAATAGATAGGCAGACCTGAGAGACCTTCATATGTGACACCGGTTATCTAAAAGGTCACCATCACCAACTACAAGAGCGCTGACATCAGCACAAAGGAGAGGATCTATTCATTCAGACCCACGCTTTGGAAGATGAGATCAAGTATTGTTGTTGAATTGGTTTGTATGGTATATAAACATTTTTACAGTTTGCTTTGTCATAATGATTCAGTTACAGGATATTGTGTGATACATTATAATTTATCTTTTATTTATTTTTTGTTAAATTGCTCTAAAAATCTAAATCATGTATCTCTTTGTAAGAAAATAAAAATAAATGAAAGGACCTTTTCAGTTTCTATATGATTGTTTGTATAACTTTTATTAAATGAATCAATGCAGACAGAAAAGGTGTCATGAGCGTAAACGGACAGCAATATCACATTTTTTAAGGCCCATTTATTTTGCAAAGTTATTACCGTAATTGCAAATATTAAATTGTATAAAGTAAGTGTTGCGTTTAAACACAATCGTAGCCGAACAAACAGGCAGTGCGTACTTTATACAACACCTTGACATTATCTTAACTACCTGTAATGTTTTATACTTCTCTATCCATGAAGGTTTATATTTAGCTGTTAAAAGAAGGTGTCGTCGTTACGTTGAGTCTTAAAAGTTAATGAATAAAAAAAATCCAATCGTCGATTTACTTTTATGGTGTATGAACTTGCCATTATTTCTCTTAGATCTCATCAATTCTACGCCATAAACAACAGTGTTCTATCAGTAATGGGTTATTAAATTGTATTGACTGTAGTAATGTCTTCATCGGCCTACTTGTCGTGGCCTTTCCTCAATAAGAGCGAGGCTGCTTTGTGTTGTCAACAAGTGTGACCGTGACGATGTCGACGCAGAATTCCCTCGGAGAGATGCTGCAGTAGATTGGAGATGCACACCGCCGAGCGAATCCACACCAATGACAAAAGGAACATGGGTGTGTGACGTTGGCAAGCTTTTGGAAGCTTTACCCGCCGTCCTGAGACAAATGAGCTCGACGCCACGCGCCCAACTCCTGCTCATTAGTCATGCGAGGTGCGTCACCCAAGAGTAATTACACTTCGCCCCAAACCTGCATATGCAACACCACATGCATGCAATACGTAATGTCGCTGCACTTTCCCACACTTAAGCCAGTGGGGAACGTTCTCATACATGTATGGATGTTTACCGAGACATGAATCATAATTATGGCTGCTGGTGAACTCCACACTGCACATTTGGAGCATGTAAGGTTTTGGCTCTCATGGTATTTGCTTTAGACATAAACAAACTTGTGCATTTTGTCACATTTTCTGTTCGCACCATGACGTCATGTGAACATAAGTGCACGGTGACCTCAGCTTATCTTCTGTTTAGTTTCTAGGATGGCGTTTACTTCTGTTTTTGTGCCGTGTGTGTGTGTGTGAGAGAGAGAGAGTGAGAGAGCATACAGAGGCGCTTGTGCAGCTGCCTTTCTCCTGTTCATCTATGTGTGTGTGTATTTTCAGTATTCAGCAAGCGCCTTTGGCCATGCTCCAATGGAGCGCTCAGTCTCTGACGGACCAGTGAGGAGTGAGGAGGGTCAGTCCCGCCAGGAGCTCATTTAGTCCCTATCTCTATCATACACACACACACAACTCTACTAGTCACTCTGACTGGGAGACTCATCGCTCCCTCTCTCGTTCTCTCACACACACGTGCACAGAAACACACACTGCTGCGCTCCCATTAGGGAGATATAGTGAGAAGACAGGACTGATGATGCCTGTCACAAAGTACTACTGCTAGTCTCTCACATAATGTCTCCTCCCTCAGTCTCTCTCCCCACCTTCCCTCTTCTTTTTTCCTTCTCCATCTCGTTGACTTGCTGCCTTTCTTTCACAGCTTCTGCAGTTCTACTTTAAAAACTGAAACATGTGGATTAATATCACGTAAGAAACTTTGGTGCATACATCCAGCGTCAGACAGCCATGATGACAGAAGTCATCATTAAATTTTCTCTTTTGACTCTGTGACGTGTCTAATAACGCACTTTATTATTCTCAGTGCAGAGAGTGATGTAGAATATTGTTGTGTAGAATAAAAATGTGTCTGTCAGTCTGCAAATTATGTCCCTACCTATCTACCGCATTACCAAAATGCAAGTATCTGCCGACTTCCACGTGAAAAACAAACATGACCATGTCAACTCCGACCTTGACGAGTAACACTTTGGTGTTTAATTCTCTGCCGACCTCTGGTGCCTGTGTGTCTGATACGAATGCATTATCAGGGTTGCGCTGTGCGGTGGATTAGAAAGTCCCCAGTGCTTTGTGAGGTGTGTGGTAATGCCAGATTTAGAGGATTCTGCTGCGAATCACATCCTCCCATCGCCTTCCTAATCCCCGATGCGCTGCCTAATGACACAGAGAACGTAAAACTCAGCGGGAGAGAGGAAGTGACAGGAAAGTTTGCCAAGACTCAAAAGTAGTTTGAGGTCGGATGGAAAAGTATGACTTAACGCTGACTGACACCAAATTCATTGCTGATCTTTCTCTGTGGTGTTACAATATTTGGGATTTGAAGGAAATGTGCATGTGCAAGTTTGGGCTTTTTGTGTGTGTGTGTGTGTGTGTGTGTGTGTGTGTGTTTACAACTGCTGCATCCATAATAGTGTGCCATGAGCGGATATGGCAGGTGCTCAACAGGTGTGCTCTCTGATACCAGTCCCTCTCCATTTGCCTGTCTGTCCCTCCATGTTTGCACACGCTCATTGTGTTCTTCATGGAGGAACACCTGGGCTCTGCTGTACCTGGGCTTGTTGCCCAGTCATCTGTCTGACAACACACACACACACACACACACACACACACACACACACACTGGAACACAGCCAGTTCCTGTTACAGGCTAAAGCAGGAAGCAGCAGCTGACATCCTATCCTTCAGTTCCCAGGAGACTCAGTAAACCATCCAAGTTGGGCCCACTTGAGACTGGCTCACCTGGAAATCGGGCCTCTTGTGCACAACAGTTAAATGGAAAAGGAGAGCATGGAGGACTCATTTAGTGCATTAAGCTGGTATCTGGTACTTCTGTTGGGTGCTGTGATTGCTTTGGGCATCCATTTGTTTTGCCTCTCAAGTGTGGTTTATCATGTCAACAAAAGCTGCAGTATGCATCACAGATTCCTAAGCTACATTCCAGTGAATAAGCTTTGGTGGCAGTTGTTAAACTCGGCCGTGGCTTGTCTGTTTAGATCAGCGTACCTTTCCAGGCAAGAGAGACTGCTATATTTTAAATGAGCAAAAAACATGAGCAACCCATGGTTTACTAAATGTATTGTGTTCGTGGTTTTAAAAGTGTCTTTAAATTGTCTCAGATGATGAAAGAATTACATGCAAAATTGTCGCAATATTTGACACCGGGTTTTAATCAATACCCACGCTTTAGTGTGGATGAGATGAAGACAAAGAGGCGAGCAGAGTTGCTGCGTTTCTCTCAATGGTGTGCGTGGCCATGCACTAGTGAGCGTGGGATTACCTGAGGGAATAACACAAACAGGTTGTCTCCAGTTCTTTTGGTTGGTTGTGTTTTTTTTTTTTACTGAAATAAGGTGATCTCAGCTCCCCCTTCTCTCGCTGCGAGTCACTGTTCCAGAGAGTAGGCAAGCACTGATGAGTGCATTCAAGTAGCTCAGCGGCTCACTTGCTTGTTTGTCAACCATCAGGCTCTCCAATCACTACCTCGTTTCAATATAAAAAGTTCAGCAATGTAATCGTTTAGGTGATACAAGGGTCGCCTTGCTTGTTTATCACGTATTTGTATATTATTTGCCTATTTAAATATGTGCGCTGTTAAAGCAGTAATGAGGGATTTTTTGACTACAAGTGATTCCTTTCGCATTACACATAGTCATCTGATTAGTGCAACTTTAAATAACATACATAACAAAACTAAACTGGAACTACTAAAATAGAATTCAACCTCACTTTCGTACGTTTTTTTTCTTCTTCTCTAAACCTATCCGTAACAGCATTTGATGAACAATCAGCCATTCTTCTATCCTCACGTTTTTACAGGCACGGAGTTGACCTGGGCAGGATACCAAGCCCCATAGGAACAGCACATTAGTTACATTAGCAGCGTAACCCACATCATTAGCGGTGACATTTTAAATGGGCTGAAGCAGCAGTCGCTGTGTTTTGGCAACACTGACAATGGCAGATGATACATGGTCCAAGAAGATGGTGGCTATCAATCTTTCTGTTCACCTCTCTATCTTGTTCACTTGTTCCCTCTTTGTGGGTGAAACAAACCCGAGCAGATTATCACATGACACAGAGGGTAACGAGCCACAACGCAGTCTCGGTGTTTCGGCGAACATGTGCTCATAAGCTGTACTGTAGCAGTCGCGTGTGTCTGTGTCTTTCATTTTGGTTTGTGATTGTGTCAAGGTCTACCTGCTCATTTATTAAGTTTCTATTCCTTCACCTGAGCGAGTACTCTCAGCGGCTTCCTCTCGGGGATGTTGTGAGGGTCATTCAGAGATCACGTGTCGCACTTTGCTCTTTGATTTAGAAGAGTCAAGAGCCACAGGACTCGTTCCCCGGAGGCAAAAGGAGAACAGGCACCCACACACATGCTCTGTCTTTCTCCCTTTTCCTGTCTGTGTCCCACAATTGCACACACTGCCCTCTCTATATTGCACACTCTCTCTCTTCCTTGTCCCCTTAAGCCAGAGGTCATGAGGGGTCAGGGCAGATATCATTCAGTCAGAGGGGCATTAAAGGAAGAAAGAGGGCCATTCTTTTCTCTCCTTTCATTTTCTTCATTTCTGCACCTCTGTCATTCTAGATATGGTAGTGAGACAACGGGCAATGGTCAGTTTCCAAAGATGTTTTCATGGGAACCATACGCTGGATTTGTTGTGCCTGTTTTGTCCTTCCGTGACACTTGTTTATACATTTTATGTTTTTTTTGTGTACTGTCATAATGGTTTGTGAATAGATCTTTTGTTTAACCCCAGTATCTTTGTTGTGTAGATGTTGGAGAAAGGAACAAGTTACACATTGCTGTACTTGTAACCATCCTATCGGTCAGTCCATCACTCTGGTTGGGGTCAGGGTTATACAGCCTGTACATTGGCTATCTGGAGTGAATAAACACAAATGGTCTAGTGGTCAAATTTGCATCGATGACACAAGGCAAAACTTTGGCTTTTTGTTTCTGTCTGAACACACATTTGTTCTCGATAAACTGACTAATAGAATATGAAATCGATTTTTGAAATGCTTCCCTGTAATACATTTTTCTGACTTCTTTCCATCTCAAAATAACACTCACTATTATTCAAAACAATACTTCAGTCCAATTGAGTTTTCTGTGGTACAGAAAACATCCATTGAAAGCATCGTTCTGTGTTTAGCACATTGTAAGAACTTGTTATGTTGATTTGTGATTTTCTAAACATTTAAAGTGACGCTTTAAACAGCAAAGAGAAACATCACACCAGCTTCAGCAGAGCAAAGATAATGATTATGGCATGAAGAGTTTATTTTCATTCTTCAGAGATTGTAAATACTGAACTATTACGTCACCTGACAGGCGGCTGTCCGGGCTGCCTGCACACACAGTTGGCGTATCGAGTGAAATGGCAGTTTACACAGGTGTTCACTCTCCAAAGGAGAAAACAAACTTCCTGTGATATTTGCATTTGACTTCTAAATATCGGGCGGGCGGGCGGCCCGGGGCTAAAGTGAATACAGACGGACCTAATACCTTTCTGAAGGACGACTCCAACACCACAGTGGGTTTGTGTCCCACACTGTCCATCTTCTGCTGCAGAAGACCCACATGACTTCCCCACAGAACGGCTGATCACATTCACATATGCACAGTCACAGTCTGTATGTTTGGATGTTTCTTTTTATGGCTGTTAAAACTACAATATGCAAACTATATCATGACTCCCTCAGTCTGTTTGGTTAGCTTCCGAAAACTCAAACAAACCGATTAAAAAAAGACCAAGAATGCTCCTGAATCCCAATGTGACTTTCTGTTGAGGACGAATAATGTGCTTCACATTATTATTAGTTCTTCCCAAATGTGGTAATAATTGTTTGTATCTGAAAGCATCTATGGAAAGTTACAGTCCACTGCAAATCACATCTGCCTTCATTTTCAGATTGAAAGCATATTTTTGCAGCAGCCAGTGGTTTCCATTATTTAAATATGGCATGAGAAATGAAACTTCCTTGAGCAAAGTAGTGAATATATCTCTTTTTATTGATGTTGTCAAACCACAAAATAAAAAGAATAAAAAACAATTTCAGATGACAATGAGCAAACACGAACGTCATTAAAAGGAAAGTGTGGGTTTGACAGCTTCTTGAATTTAATTATTTTTTGACGGTTGTTATTGTTATTTTTTTTTATTGCACGGTGGCTTTAATGCATCAATATCTAAACAGTAGGATTTCAATGACAAAAACAAACGGAACAAAACAACAAAAAGTTTCAGGTGAATCCAAATCCAAATATTTAAATTACAGATTTAATTTACAAACGCAACATACTGTACTGCACAAATAAAAACGTGAATATAGACATTTACAAAAGGAAAATTGTCTTTAGTTTATTGTCTTTTAAGCTCTAGCTAGTTTTGTAAAGATGCATAGTACCCATTGAATATATATCGTCAAAAAACTCATAATAACAAAGAAGATCTGGTACATTATCCATATATTCACTATTGTCCCTATGATATCACGTCAAAAGTGCTCATTGTAGCTTAGCAGGCACCAGCTTACAGCCTGTTTTCATTGTCTTAAATCACTATGTTCAAGCGAACACTGACCGGTGTTCACAGATGTGTACCTCAGTAAACTCCCACCACCCTAACTACGTATAAGCTGTAGATGAAGAACGGCCTTCCTCGTACCTTGTCCTCGTCATCACCTTGACCAGAGAGAAATAATGAATGAAGAGGTCCCCTCAAATCATTTCCAGGTGCCGACTAGGTGCATCCTGTGACTTACATCAGAAGCTTGTGGTATCGGTCTGTTGCTGCTTCAGTCAGAGTTTCTCAGGTCATCTCCCCTTCCTCTGTTCTGTCCCTCTAACCCTGCTACACGTACACACTGTTTAACACCATATTCCCTCTCCTTCCCAGGCTAACCTCACCCCCACACCCCTCAGTCATAACACTTACTGCCCCTAACGTACACACACACACACACACCTAGCCCTGACCCAACCTCTCCTCCCTCAACCATAGATAGTGTAAAATGGGGGTGAGCCAGACTGATACCAGGCCTCGACACAAGCCAGTACCAGGGTGATTCAGGGAGCATCCTTCTGCATACTTGCCCCCTGACTCACCCACAAGCCTAGGGTGAGCTCATCCAGCTCCCCCTCCCCTGTCTCCCAAGCACCCTGTCCCTCCTCGCTTGCTCGTCTGCCTCACCTTTGAGAATCTCTGTGCTCTTTGTTTTTTCTTTAAAGTTCTTGGTATTCCCTGTTATCACAACACAACTCATTGTGCGACAGTTTTATTGATTGTGACTTTCATTTTTATTTTTGTCATGTTTTAGTTTCTACTTTTGACTTCTTCACTTCTTTCCCGTCAATGTCTTTTTGTCATAAAGGATAATGATATGCACAACTGCAAACAAATCTTAATTAGCAGCTTTAACACTTTTTTTTTAATCATTGCCATCTTTGAAGTGTCACCGCCTTTTGTAAAATGAATAGCACGCACTGTCATCATTTAACCTGAATTACAGTTTTCATAATTTTATTACATTGCTTTTTAAATGACAAAATATTCTGCTCCTGTCAAATCAAATGGAGAAAATAATTAATAAACCTAATTCATAAACTCATTACAAATTGTAATGCTTAAGGTCACAGTTTCATGGAGTCAGAGCAGAGGATTGTGCCTCATCGTCTTGCACTGCGTGTGATCTTTACGGAGAGCGGTTGTCTCCTGGAGTGGCCCCTGCTTTGCTCCCTGGAATCAAATAAAACCACAGTATAGCATCATTTAAGTGAGCTCTCAATGCTGTTTTGGAAAATAACCACAATGTTTACACAGTCTTGAATTTGGTCTTGAAGTCAGAGACTAGATATTACTCTACAGTACGTCTTTAGTGCATTGCTTCACATAAGCATCAGCCTGATAGAGATACAGTATATCAAAAGCTCCCAAGCTGACCATGTCAGGTACAATCTACCCGCATCACACTGAAGTCAGACAGTAATCATTTGACACACAGAGGATACCAACGAGCTTGACCCGTTGTTGTTTGATTGACGGTGACTGGCAATCTTGGCAACAATAGTGGTGGTGAAAACAAAGAGCAGACAGTGGGTGTTTTCATGCTTGACTTTCATTGATGTGTTTCTGGATTTAGCCAGTTTATCTGTATTCAAATGTGAGAGTCTCAGTATTATTTATGTTCATTATTATAAAGGACTTATAACGAGGTAAACGTTCCCCACATAGAAACTTAAGCTTTCAGTATGCACAGATGTTCTATATAATCCACCTTCAAGTACTATTTTGTGACACCATGACCTGTTGATGTGCTGGTTATGTCACGCATTACAACCAGAAAGCATACTGTGTTTGGAAAAGCAGCCACAAATACTGCGTTGTTTTTTTCTTCTTCTCTGTGGCCGTTTGTTGAAGCGTTATTTTAAGAGTGTAAAAGACAAATAAGCCATGCTTGTTTGGTCATGTTAAGTCCGATTTGTAGAGCAAGCCATTTCCACGATAACAAAATCTGAATACCCCACACAGATAAATGGGATTCTTGGATTCAATGGTTTCTTTGCAGAGCGATAATCCAACTCATCCTCCGATCATAGCTATTGTGTTGTCAAAGCATCAGCTGAATATGAAAAGATTTTTTGGATTTTGTTGCTTCCAACGTTTTATTTACTACGGCTTAACATTAAGCCTCTTTAAAAATAAATAAATACAAGTGCAAACGAGGGGAGTTGAGATGTAGAAGGAGAATGAATACAACCCCCTTTTTACCCAGTTGCAGTTCAGTTCATTTTCCCAACGGAGCCATGTGCTGTCCTCCGCTGAAAATCTTCTGTGGCACAATTGTTGTCCTATTCATCTCATTTAATGTTGTTACACTGAATGACTGAATTTCATTTGTGAAAAAAGGAATGGATTGCAACGTTATTCGCACATGTTGCGCAGGCACAAAGAGCACTTACTGTAAGAGGACCCCTGGAACTGCTGCTGGAGGAAAAGGCAAAACGATTACACCCACTGTTCCCATTATTTCGCTATGACCCTCGCTTGAGAGTTTGACACCCAGATTACTTCTTACAAATCAGTTTAATTTTGCAGTCACAGTAACATAGATTCTGTGGGAGCATATGTGCAGATGCTGTTGCATACTGTTGTAGTCACTTTCACATTGCGTCTCGCCAAGGAATGGGTAGATCAACTTTTGTCCTTTCAGGCATAACGTGAAAAATGACAGCTTTGAAAAAAGACTCCGAGCTAATAACACTTTCCGACACTATATATATTGTCCTGCATATAGTATTTAATTTGTTATCTCGGCATGAAAGCAGTAAAAGATATACCATAGGTGTATTTGACTGGAACATGCACAGGGAGCTGGGTGACTGTAATTGGTGATATTTCTTGATGTGAAGAAGTTTGGTTGAGGCAACAGTACAAATCAGACGCTACATCTACAGTCGTCAGGCATCCAGTGATCTCGCACTGTCCCCTCCTGCCTTAAAGGGAGTCAGCCAAATGGGCCAGAGTGCTTGTTAAACATACGTTTCAGGCAGAGATGGGAGGCTAGTTCATACTATGCTGTAGGGCTGCTGAGGAGTCTCAGGCTTTCCTGTGAGGGTGTGTGCGTCTGGTGTTGTGCCTTTTATGTGCACTGTTTTTAAAAGAGTCAAATTGTATGTGATTGTATGATGTACATTAAGGACAGACAAGCTGTCAGCAGTGTGTGGCTACCTGTAAGTACTCCTTCTTTCTCAGGTGTCTTTGCATATGTGCAAGTGATGGTATTTAAACACTGCACTCTCTGTGTGTGTGTGTGTGTGTGTGTGTGTGTGTGTGTGTGTGTGTGTGT